TTCACTAGAAAACATTTCCATGTATATATCCTTATTTTATTCAAAAAATACTTTAGACGGGATTTATGTAATTAGTGAATAATGACAGATGCGCTTATCATATTGAATCAGCATGCCAAGTCAATGTGTTCATTTATATTTATGGATAATCAGAATGTGCATAAACCAGGGATCATTCCAAATCGAAACCAGGTTCATCAGACTGCCGGGAAGAATGACCACAAGAAACCCTCCTTCGGTCAGTTAAAAAAGATCACACCTCAAGAAGTGCAATACAGAAGGAATCATAATCCGTGCTATAAATGCGGAGAAAGATACGGACCAGGACATCAATGTCCAAAGCTATATTTCATGTTGACAGAAGAGGGCGAAATGGAGGATGCAGATTTGGAAATCTATGAAGTAGCAGAAGGTGAAATGGTAGAAGAGAACGTCCGTCACATTTTCCTGAATGCAATCAGTGGGAAAACGGATAAGAAATCAATCATCGTTCGTGGAAGGTTAATGGGAAGGTGGGTTAGCAGTCTTATTGACACTGGCAGTGACTCAAGCTTTGTACATGCGGCATTGTGAAGCTGTTAACCTTGCATTATCAAAAGACTCAACCATTCGTGGTCAATGTGGCAGATCGTTCAAAAACAAAAGGCTCCTTGATGTGTCCTTCAGTGCCTTGGAGCATTCAAGGGTATAGATTTGCATTTGACTTCCTTATTATGGATTTGGGGGGCCTTGATGTCATTTTCGGCGTGGATTCGATGTCCACCTTCAGTCCAGTGTCCTTTGATTATGACCGACATTGTATTCAGTTGACCAAAGATGGAAAAACGCATACATTATATGGAGGGGGAAATTGAGCTGGCTGTTTCTTCACTAAGAAGGGACGAATTCAGAGACTACATGGAAGCAAGGGACAGAGAAGAGTATTGTCAGACTCATTGCCACCATGCCATTACTGAAATTCAGGAGGAGGAACAAGGAGAAGAGGAAAATAATGAAGAAAGACTACCAGAAGATTTAAGGAAACTGTTGGAAAATTTTGATCAGGTTTTTTCTACTCCCTCTGAATTACCACCTGAAAGGGAAATCGAGCACTGCATAGAACTAAAGATTGATGCACAACCATTCAAAGTCAAGCCATATCGATATCCACACGCTCACAAAGATGAAAGCGAGAGACAAGTTGCAGAAATGCTGAAAAGTAATGTGGTTCAATACAGTGTCAGCCCATATTCATCGCCAGTGTTGCTGGTCAAGAAGAAAGGGGGAGAACGGAGATTCTCTGTTGATTATAGGCGACTGAACGAAATGACTATCAAAGACCGTTATCCAATTCCTATGATTGAAGAACTTTTAGACGAGCTTTATGGGGCCAGGTATGTTTCTAAGCTTGACTTAAGGTCTGGTTATTTTCAGATCAGAATGAGGACCAGTGATATTCCTAAAACAGCATTTCAAACGCATCACGGGCATTTCGAATTCAAGGTGATGCCCTCTGGACTCACAAACGCCCCAGCAACCTTTTAGTCACTCATGAATAGAGTGTTCAAACCATTGATAAGGAAATGTGTCCTAGTATTTTTTGACGACATCCTGGTTTACAGCAAGACTTGGGTGGATCATTTACAGCATCTGGAAGTGTTAACAACTTTGAAGGATCATCAGTTATATGCCAAGTTGTCCAAGTGTATGTTTGCTCAGGAATCAGTCGAATACTTAGGCCACGTGATATCAGAAAAAGGGGTAAGCATGGACCAGGAGAAGCTTAGCTGCATCTAAAATTGGCCTACACCTCAAACTATTAAGGAACTTAGAGGCTTTCTGGGACTATCAGGTTATTACCGAAGGTTTATAAAAGGCTACGGTATGATTAGTAAACCACTTGCAGTGCTCCTAAGGAAAGAAGGTTTTATTTGGAATGAGGATGCCACCATAGCCTTTGAGAAATTGAAATTTGCTATTACTACAGCTCCTGTTCTTGTCATGCCAAATTTTGAGAAACCCTTTGTCATTGAAACCGATGCATGTGAACTGGGAATGAAGGATGAAGAACGTAGATTAATCATGTTTCTATTTTTACAATTTTTTAAAAAAATCTCTATTGAATCAAGGCGTTGGCCAATTATAACGTCTGCTGTCAACCCAAATTATTTAAACACATATACTATCATATCTGACACATACTTTTAAATTTACAAAAATATTCGGATATCATCGCTAGACCCTAAGGGAAAAAACGGATGCTTAAACTGTAAACCTTAACCGTTGTAGGAATGCTTAAACCATAAAGTCTAAACGACTAAAATTGAAAATTCCTAGCCAAGAATACGATTAAAACTTAAGTATTTAGATTAAGTTTAGATTTACGAGACCTTTAACCTAATCTAAATGCTTAAATTCATAAGTAGGTTTTCGCTCGTCACTAGACCCTACTTTTATCAAAATATTTAAATCCAACCCGAAACTCTAGATGACAAAACCATGAAGAACCCAAAACATGAATACGGTTCGATTTTAATTATTTATATTAGGTTATAGTCCCATTAATCAAAATGTTTACATTCGCACAAGTTGTTTTTCCGCCTCCACTAGACCCTAATATTTATGGGGATACTTAGACCTTATCCTAAGCACTAAACCATAGACTCTAATTGCTCTAAGAGCAATGTTTTAACCCTAAACCCTAAATGTTAAACAGTGAAGAACCTTAAACACGAATATGGTTCTAATTTGATGATAAATATTATAAAATTGTTTAAATTCACAAGTGAGTTTTTACCCACCACTAGACAATAACACTTATGGGGAAATTCAGAAAAATATTCAAGTAACATTGTTGGACCTAACTATTAAGAGGGATGGTAAATTCTAAACTCTAGCCGATAAAAGGATGATTAAGTGTTATATTGACAACCAAATCTCTTAAGTGTTAAAAATAGCCTTTCGAAGTTCGTACGGTTGTATTTCCATGTTCAAAGTATAATTACAAAGTTCTTCTAGTAACATTTTGATATTCCAGCAATATAGTTTCAAAATTTTTGAGGTAAATGTTTTATATTCCAGAAATATAATTCTTAAGTAGACACGTCAAAATCATAAAGTAGATCCATAAAACAATCAAAACTACCAAATCGTAATTATAAAATTTGAAACAACGATATTTAACGTAGAGTTTGTTAGATAGACCTCGCCGAATATTATAAATTACATATATAACATAAATTTAGAGATAAAACCATTTTAAAGTTTTGATTGTTTCCATAACCGTGTTTTTGGATTTGCAAAAAAGATCCCTCCATGATAAACAGAAAATACAAAAAGTCCCCAAGGATTCACCAACTTTTTGGTGAATCCCCGTATATACCCCAAAACGCGGCATAAGTCAAATTTTGGGGAGGAGATCCACCACATTGGACACGGAGACAATCCAACAACTACAACAGATTGCATAATTAAGTTATTTTGAAGGTGATATAAATTCATATGTAGTTCCATCTCAAAATCAATTGGCAACGAGTGAAGTAGTATATAGGACTTATATGTTGGCCAATGTAGGTTAGCATTATCACCGAGGGACAAGTGTCTTTCTTGTTTTTCAAGATCAAAGGGATTTTACCAAGTTAGCTGAAGGGCTTGCTTGCACTTGATCCCCAAACAATGGCTTACTTATGCGTTAAATTGTTCTTTTAAATGCATTATAATTGTCTTCCTTATAGGCGCTATCAGCCTATCACTAGTGACTAAAATAATCTCTTACGCAGACTTAGAGACTATTTGATAAAACCATTTAATGTTTAAAATTATTTGATAAAACACTTTTCATTTTAGCGCGTTTGATAACAAGAAATGAACCTTTTAATGAATTAATTGGTACTGAAAGTACAATACAAAATATAAATAATAAAAGTTAGTTTATTACATAGCGGCTTAATGAACTTAACAATTCTAATTCAGTATTAAGGATTCAGAATCAAGCACTAATTTTTTTCAAACATGCCCTTAAACTAAAGCCATGTTTGATAAAACATAATTTCTGTCTGAAGTCTGAAATCTGAAGACGGCACCACAAATACTGAACTAATTAAGTTTGTCTTTTTTTTGGGTTAAAATGTAAATAATTTTATTGATCAACTTCACTTCACCTCACCACATTACATCACCTTTGGCCATTACATTAACTTGTTGTTTAAGCTACTATACCCAATTGTTTTACAAAGTTTAGTTCTCTGCTTGTTAATTTCAGTCCACTATGCCCAATTCTACATGTCAACTCTTGTCTAAACAGCCTTCCTCTCATCACAGCAGTCTCTTCCTTCCCAGCAAATTTTCTTCTATTGATTTCCCTCCATGTAGAGTATTTCAGTCCATTCAAACACTTAAAAAGGATGCGCTCCTTGATACTGGAGTTCTTCCATATTCTGATGATTTTGCCTGCATTCAGCAGCTTCATGTCAAACAGGAGTCCCAGCTATGCCTTGATCTCATTCCACATGTCCTGAGAGTAACTATACTGGAAAAACAAGTGTTTCCCTGTTTCCTTTTTTTTTAAGCAAACTAGGTTAGTAACTGAGAAATTTATTGATAAAGTAAAGTATTTCCGGGTCAGTGCGTAAGACTTACCCCGTACAAACAGAAACTGTCATTAAATGACGGCGATTTGAATATTAGTAAACTATCTCGGGGATAGACTAGTACAATGTAATACTCTTTTCTCCGTGGAGACCTATAATGTCACGATAGAGGACAGTAGTCATTTCTTCTGTCTGCCTGACTCGCATCTTGTGGATCCCCGTTCACGGACTGTCGCATTTGGTGGGCATATTTGAGAATCCCAAACAGTGAATGATACACAGAGAATTTTTTTGCTGCCTCCAAGTTGTCACTGCTATGAGTCGACAGACATAGAGCATAAACTAACTAAACCATAACCCGATACAGTTTATTTGTAGAGTAGAGAGGCCGGTTTGCAAGGGAAATCGATTTTTTTAACCAGAGAATCTGTGATGGATCCGAATATCCAGCTGTGGGAGGCTAACCCGGAGATGAAAAACATGATTTGCGTTGTTCGTGATGGATTGAGATGGCGGGTCACTCGGCATCTAGGTGTCAGTAGATCAGAGGTTCTTTGGCCGGCTGATCTGGGGTCGTTCGTCGGTGGGCTTTTTGACAGATGGCCGCTTATAGAGTCAGACCTTGGTGGCTACCTTAAGAGAGCAGAAAACAACAGCGGCGGCTGGATTTCAGATCGAAAAGAATCTGCAGGTCTCAACATATCTAACGATGTCGTTGTGGATCCGTCTTGTTGTGACCGGCTCTGCAGAGGCAAGTGGAGGCAGTTTATCTGATCGCCAGCAGTCGCGTCGCCGCGGTGGCTGTTGATCTGATCACCGGATTTAGATCTGTAGATCTGCATTGTCAACACAAGCGGGGTCTCCGGTGGTCAGGTTTATGGTGTTCTGTGAATTCCAAACGTGAGGCTGATGTTCAGCTGCAACAGAGGTTGGAGAAGGCCAGGCCTTTTTTGAAAAGAAAGGAAAAAAAATTAGAAAAAAAAATTGGAGAAAATAAGTTTCATAATTCACCTGGATGTGATCATCACCAGCCTGTCAACTGTTAACAGCCTCCTTCTCCGAGCAAGCCAAGCGATAAAGTTGTGCTTAGTTATTCCCAGGGAGCACCATGTGATCTTTGCAGCTTTCCATTTGCTTGCTTCCCCTCTCAGCAGTTTGTATCCAGTCTTAGGACTATATGGCCTACCTCCATTCAAGTCCACTGATCATTGCTCATTCCTCCATTTGTTAAGTTTATCTTGTTTAATAAAAATCAAAATCTAAAAACTGAAAAAGTATTTGAAGTCTGAACATTGAAATCTAAAGTTGTTAAAATCTTCAATTTTAATTTTTTCTAAGAAAATAAATGAAGTGTGAAACCATAACAACAAAGGTAATAGTAATATTATGAATTTATGTAACAAAAAATATTTATTTTTAGTTATTTAATTAGTTCATAATTAATAATAATAGTAAATCCTTATGGTAAATATATTTATCATGGACTTTGTTTGTATTTAATTTTTTTTATTAAAATAAATACCAATATATAAAAAATATAAAATAACTTTTATAATTTTTAATTTCAAAATAAGCACTAATATTAATAAAAATTAATCAACAAAAAAAATATAAAAAGTACAAATATAAAAGAAAATAAAGGAATAGGACAAAAAAATGTCATAAGAAATCAATTCAATGATAAGAGATAGGCCCATCACTTATTTTTATACTAAAATTTGTACGTGCATTTCAGACCCACTTAGTTTATTAACATGTACCACTTTTCGTTGAAATGTACGTATAAATTAAGTATTGAATCAGATAAGTTCTTAATGAATTAAGTTGTTACGCCATCATATTGTCAAACAGTGTTAATCAATTTATGTAAGTACTTAATTAATTAAGTTTAAGTGCTGAAGGCCTGAAGTAATAAAAGTTAGATTATTTGTTTATTCCGTAATTACAAAATGATTTCATAATTTCGAATCAGTATTAAATATTGAAAATTAAACACTAATTTTATCAGGCCCCTAGTAATATTACTTTTATCTAGCCATAAAAATAGGGAATACTTCCTTTTCTTCATTTCTTAAAAAAAGGGTTTAAAAGTATTCAACGGCCAACTGGCCCAACACACTGTAGTGAAAAACGGACCAGAATGGCGGCAAGATTTAACTTGAACTGGAATGATGACTGGTCCATTTTCATCGTAAAACCCAACATAATTATAAATCGGTCAAAATCCAATCATACCCGTCTGATCGGGAGCGGAACACAGGCGCTTGACCACAGTTTAGGTGTTTTTCTCACTTTTTAATTATCAAAAGATTAAAATTTATGATTCAAAGACTAATTAAAGAGTTAGAAGATCAAAAATCCGAAAACTCATTAAAATTAATAACTGAGAGTATAAAATATTGGAGAGGAAAAACTCAGTTTGCAATTTTTTTAATTTATAAAATTGGAGGGATCACTACTAGTATATAATATATAAACACAAAGAGGTTAACGATAAGGCTCCAATCATCATAGTCTATTCACAAGAAAGCAACAGTGTGACCACTAAAAGGGTCCAGACTCAACTCCATATATAGGTGTATATATTATTGAAATGTGAATTGCGCAACTCACCTAATTTGGTATCCATATCCATGCTACCATAAGATTGCGCGCTACAGAGTAAAGCGTGCACCAAAAGTCTTAAAACAATAATTGAAGCTTTTGATAGATGTCATTATTCCTATTGGCCCAAATAAAATGTAATGAAATTATACAGATTATTATATTTTTCAGAAAGGAAAATGTACGACACTAAATATATAAATATGTATATGTCTTACTATATTAGAAACAAAAACCACATTTAAAGAGAAAACACCACCATTTGCTATGTGGCATTTTCACATCATATTTTTAAAATAAAATTTTTATTTCCACATGTCCTAAATTTAAAAGGCAAATATAGTCTCAATTCACTTCCACCTCCTATTTCCGTCAAAAAAAAAAAAAAACTATAGGTTCATAAAAACCCCAAATCCTCATCCACATCTCCACGACAATCGACTCCTTAATCAATCCCTTCTCCACAATTAAAAAAAAAAAACCAATTCCTCATCAATCATTAATTGAGAATATGTGGTCAAATATAATCCTATTAGCATGTTCAATCTTTTCATTAGTGATGATCAATTACATCTTAATCGGATAAAATTTTAATTTCAAAAAATATTCTCTTTACCTCTCTATATAAACACAAAGGAAAAAAAAATCTCATTGATCTTGCTTCAGCCATTGTGGTGGTACCATTACAGGTATTAAAATTAAAATGATTTTATTTTCACAGATCATTGGTTTGGCTTTTATTATTTTTTATTTTTCCCGTTCAAGAATAGTGTTATTACTATTATTTGTATGTGTCCATCCGTTATAGCTACCGTAGCCGTTGTCAGGTAGTATAATGTGATTTCTTATTTGGTTAGTTAGCTTAGAATTTTTGTATGATTTTAGTTATGTTTGGATTGAATTGATTGATTGGATTTTTGTTACAAAGTGTGATTTTTTAAATTTGTTTTTTATGTTTCATTCAATTGCAGTGGTTTTCTTTTTTTAATTATGCAGTCTCAGGTTTTTTTCGTATATGGCCAATTATGAAGTGTGTTTTTGTTTTTTAATTGCTTTTGATTTTGTTTCATACTCCCAGTTGACCAATTATTATTATTATCATTATTATTATTATTTTATTTGCAAATGAAGCACGTTTTTTTTTTGTGTTCGGAGTTTCAAGAATATACTTTTTTGGATTTGGTTTTTGGACTTTTTTTAGTTCCTCATCATATAAATAGTTCAGGTCGCTTCTTTTAACTAATTTATGGGGAATCCTTTTATGAATTTGAGGTGGAGAGGGAAGGAATGGTATTCTACGTTTATTTGTATTTTTATACATCATTTTTGCCTACAGAAAAAAAAACTCTCAAATTTTAATGGGCTATCTTTTACTTCTTTTTCTTTTATTTTCCATAGTGAGGTGAGTTCTTTTTGCTATATCTTGAAACCTATGCAAATTTACAATTATTTTCATTCTCATATTTGTGATCAACCAGTTTCAACAATTAACCAGTTTCAAAATAATATTTTTGATATTTTACTACCTATAAACTTTTGGAAGAAATAGTTTCAACAATTAAGCGTATACCCTTTGGAGGAAGCTAATTACAAAGCTATTATAAATCTCCAAAACTAAGTATTGATTTGGCACAACCAATGGAGAACATCAATAAATTATCTTACTAATATTTAAACTTATTAGGATGCTTTTATATTTTGTCTATCATTTACTTCAAGACATATATTTGATCAAGTTTATTTATATTTAAGAAGTAACACTTATAAAACATTTCTAAAATCTTCAAACATTTCTAAAACGTAACGGGCCAAATACAATTTATTTTTTTTGCCAAATACAAACATCACACTTATAAAACATATCTAAAATTCTTCAAATATTTCTAAAATATATCGGGCCAAATACAAAATATTTTTTTTCAAGATACAAACATTTCTAAGATCTACAGATATATTGGGCCAGGGTCACGCATTGCGCGACCAGACATCACTAGTATATATATATATATATATATATATATATATATATAGAGAGAGAGAGAGAGAGAGAGAGAGAGAGAGAGAGAGAGTTAAAGTTATATTGTGAATGACAAATTGCCGATTAAAAACGTCTTTGTTTGAATTACTATGATGCGACAAATTGGAAAAAAAAAAATGCAGTGCTAAGATTAGGGATCTTAGGGGTTCAGATACCTAATATCAACGGTAATTTTGGAAAAAAAAAACACGGGAATGATTAAATTTATGATCCAAAGAAACGAAGCCATGAAAATAATTCGCATCTGATTAATACCATCAAAACAAAACATCTTGGACTTTTATACCAATATCAATTGGCAAATAAGTAAAGTGCTTCAAAATTTATAAACAAGTCTCAGATTACGATCATTTGTTCAAGTATTCTTCCACAAGTCCAATGGGCTGCTCAACTAAAAAACAATGGACTTGCATCAACTGTTCCCTTCTTTTTTTTTTTCGTTTCCAAGAGAGCGCCTCGATCCAGTATTCCAGTAGACCTGCTGGACGGTACTTGGCACGTGCCGGCAACATTGACGAATCTGGATGCGATTTCGACCTCTCCGTCGTAGTGTTTTCGGGGAAGAACTGTTTCTGCTTTTCCCCCTTAGAGTTGGGCCTTTCTCCCTTTTCTGAAAAAGCTTGTCTCGGTTTTCCTTTTCATGAGCAAAAACAGTAAAACATAAGCCGTGATTGGGCTGGACTTCTCGGTTCTCTTTGAAAACATTATTGATACTTGCACTGCGCAAATTGTTGGGAAGATTAGTAGGGTGGAAAAATATAGCTCGGTGTTGTAAGTAAAATACAATCGAAAAATAAAGCACGTAACATTATTGAAAATAAACGACTATCATTTTGATTATCTAGTATACTACGTTTGTATTGTGTCAAAGATGATCTTGTGCAAGTATCAGTATTGTCTAAATTTCTCATTATTTAATTCGGTCTCAAATTATTAGATCTATTTTTTTTACTCTTCATACAGACTTCTATGATCTTTATAAACGAACTCCTTTCTTAGGAGATTGAAAAGGTTGTGAAATGAAATTTTAAAAATCTGAGAATGAAAATAAAAACTGATATGTACAGCCAGTGCTTGATTGAAGTATTGATCGTAATTTTGATAATTTCTAAGAGGTTTATTCCATAGTTAT